TCAAAGGCATAGCCAAATATGGAGTTGTTTATTTCCAACAAGACAGGATGTCGGCGCCATCTTGTAATGGCGATCCTGTCCGGCTCACTACAGCTCAGGGGTTAAGAGCACTGGCTGCTCTTCCAGAGGTCCTCTGAGTTCAATTCCCAGCAACCACATGGTGGCTCACAACCATCTATAATGAGATCTGGTGCCCTCTTCTGGAGTGCAGTCAGATATACAGGCAGAATGCTGTATACATAATAAATAAAAAAAAAACTTTAAAAAAAAAGGAAAAGAAATACATTTTTAAAAGTCTTAAAAAACAAATAATAGATCTTGAAAAGCAAACAAACAAGGGTGTGGGTTGTTGAGGCTCAGTGCTAGAGTCTTTGTGACACACACATGAAGCCCTGGGTTCCAACCCCAGCACCCTATAAACTGAGTGATCCCAGAACTCAGAAGGTAGAGTCAGGAGAACCAAAAGTTCAAGGGCCATCCTTGGCTAAACAGTGAGTTCTAGGCCAGCCTGGACTGCGTGAAACCCTGTCTAGGAGAGACAGCCAAGCGATTGTCCTCCACCCCCGATTGAACGGGGTGGGATGGGGACATGTATTGTCCCAGAAGCCTGTTCTGGGCCCAAATGAACAGGCAGCAAAGGAGCTGGCGCTGGGAAGGGGCCCTGGTGAGCAGTGCTCAGCCAGTCAGGTGTGGATCGAGAAGACCACTGGGTATTGACCGAAAAATAGCCCTGAGACTTTGACTGGACCCGAGCGAGGTTTGGGGGTGGGTGCTGGGCTCAGGAGAAGGCAGCTGGGAAGGCCAGCACCCCCACCCCACCAGGGGACACTTTGCCCTTCACAAGCTGCCTTAATGCGGACTCACAGAAGAGTCAGCTGGGAGGGAGAGGCTGTGCAGGGAGGAAACTGAGGCTGGGGAGGGCAAAGGACCCTGTGCTGGGGCCTCACATGATGGGTCATGAACGGACGTGGGGTGCATGGAAAGTCAATGGGCTAGAGGAGAGCCAGGCAAGAGGAGTCTGGAGGCCCCCCTTTGCAAAGGTCTCCTGAGATCCTTTTTGTCCCCTTTAGTTGAGTCCCCCCCACCATGCACACACACAGTAGACATGAAGTCTGGCCTGACATACGCTTGGCAGGACCCCTGGTCCTGGCTCATCCTCCCAGGCACAGAAGAAACAACCTAACCATAGGTTTGAGAATTCAGACAAGAAGGGACACTGTGACCCAGTTTGGGGGAGGTAGGACTTACACCTGGTCCTCCTCAGCCCTTGTCATGTTCCCAGGCCCAAGCACACCTGAGCCCACCCACTGGCAAAGGGTTCCTGAGAGAAGGGTAGAGGTCTGTGTGCAGAGGGAGACAGACAGACAGACAAGAAAGGTGTAGACACAGCATGGCTGCAGCTGCAAGTTCTCTCTCTCTCTCTCTCTCTCTCTCTCTCTCTCTCTGGTTCACATCATGGCTTTGTTTATTTTGTATCAAATGATCTTAGCCCTCTCTGCCCCAGTTTCCCCGTTTGAGAAAGGGGAACGGTGCTAACATTCACCCCTAAGACCATAGCAAGGACTGAATGGGAAGGGGCGTGAAACTGGCTAACACTGAGCTTGCAGTGAGTAACCACTCAGCTAAAGTAGCTGTTAGAGCTGGGCAGTGGTGGCACCACCTTTAATCCCAGCATTTGGAGACAGAGACAGGCGGATCTCCAGCCTAGTCTACAAAGCAAGTTCCAGAACAACCAGGAAGTTACACAGAGAAACAATGTCTCGAAAAACCAGAGAAAAAGGTAGCTGCTAGCAGTCAGAAGTCATTCTTCTTTAATTAAGAAGAGTCTCTCTATGTAGCGCTGGCTGGCCTTGAATTCACTCTGTAGAACTCACAGAGATCCACCTGCTGCAGCCTCCAGAGTGATATTAAAGGTGTGCCCCATGACACCTGCCCCCGTTTTTCTTATTGCTCTTCTTGTTCATTCCCACACCCAGTCCCAGGAGTTTTACTTCCTTCCTTATGCTTATCCATAGTTTGGGAATTTCTCCCCAGTGAGAGTGAGGGAGCCTGGGCTTCCTCTTACCTCCATGCCAAGCAAGAAGATGGCTGGTTGCCCCCTTCTCACAGCCCATGTTCTGGGCCTCCCACTCCTCAGTAGGAGTCCTGAGGGCAGAGGTTGACATGCTGGTAATAATGGGGCCCTTTACTATGTGCCAAGGCTCTGCCGGGAGGGGCAGCTAGTGACTGACAGGAGGATGTGGGCACCACGGCCCTCTGCAGTCCAGTTCCTCCTAGGTGGATGGATACCCCTGGAGGGCGGCTACCCACCAACCAGAAGGTGCTGGGAAGACAGCTCATAATGGCTCTGGCTTTCTTTGTTGTGTGAACTGCCTTGCCCCACCCTGAAAACTCACAGGCCCTGGGGGTCACCCCCTCTGGCTTCCGATCCCCGGGACCCCAGCACTCACTGTGCCTTGGTTACTGGGTGAATAATTCAAGCGGCTGAGTGTCGGGCATGAAATATTTAGCAGGCTGTTCCTGACACACCAGAGTGTGGGGGCGACGCTGGCACTGGGATTGCAGGCTGGGGCTGTGGGCCAGCAGGTATATAAGGAGAGATGTGTGGCCAACCACTGGGTCTTTTGCCGGCCCTGGACTGTGTAGGCAGGACCTACTTTTTAATTTTTTCTCTGTTTCATTTTATTTTGGGTTTTTAGATACAGAGTTTTACGATGTAGTCGAGATTCTCAGTGATTCTCCTGTCTCAGCCTTCCAAATGTTAGGATGATAGGCGTGTGCCAGGATACGCAGTGCATGCATGCATGTGTGTGTACATGTGTGTGTGCATGCATGTGTGTGCATGCATGTGTGTATGTGTGTATGTACATGTGTGTCTACATGCGTGCATGTATATCCGTGTGTGTGCATGTGTACATGCATGTGTGCATGGGTGTCTACGTGCATGTGTGTATATCAGTGTGTGTATATGCGTGCGTGCGTGCGTGTGTCTGTGCATGTGTCTGAGTGTCTGTGTGTTGCTGAGGTTGTAACCCAGAGCATTCCACATGCTACCCAGGCATTGTAATACTGAGCTACATCCGCAGCCCTCACTGGAGCGGCATGCTGAAGGATATCTAAAGGGCCAGATTCAACATGAGAGCAACACGCGGCAGCTTTGTGTTGGAGTATGGGAAGGGTGCCCACACAAGCAGTCAGGAGAGACAGGGAATGAGAACTAAGTTGGGGATGCATACAGCTTGAGCGGAGAGGCTCCAGGCTCGGAGCTGCTGGGATGGCTGTGGTTAAGGAGGGGAAGACACGCTCGTCTGGGTAAGGGTAGGGATCTAAATTATGTTGTGGGGTTGGCGCATGGGCAGATCTATCTAGAGGAGGAGGGACATGCAGACTATTGGGCCAATGAGGGAGGGGCTTAATGGGTCTGGTTGATATGTGGATGCTTATCTAGGAAGAATAGTTTGGGTGGAAATATGAAAGACTGGAGAGTAACAGGATGGATCCCCACTCCCAGCTTGATGCGTTTGTAGACTTGAATGGGCAGGTGATGGGTCTGGAGTAGCTTGTGGCTCCACCCAGTGTCCATTCCTGGTAACTGCATCCCACGCAACCCAAACCCGTTACCCACCTAGTGGCCAGGCCAGCTTCAATGCTCTTCTATTGCATCCCTCCCACCTGTGGGGATGCAGCTCTGTTACCCAGTTAGGAAACTGCTGGGCTGGGGAAGCAAGGATAAAGGGTGCTAATAGTCCAAAGTTAGACCATAAGGAAAGCCATCAGGACATGGGTCCTGCCCGTTTTTCCCCACTCTGGACCACTATCCGCGTGTCCACTGTGGGTCACACCCATCAGGCACTGAATCCCACAGATATGTAATCCTATCACATTTGCCAGTTGTGTGGCATAAGTTAAGAATGCCCTAGCCTAGGAATAACAACAGAACTTAAAAGAAATACTTGTCTGGGCTGGAGAGGTGGCTCAGCGGTTAAGAGCACTGGCTGCCCTTGCAGAGGACCCAAATTCTATCCCACCCACACGGAGGCTCACAACCATCTGGAACTCCAGTTTCAGAGGGTCTGATGCCCTCCTTTGACATCTTGGTGTACACACATAAATGTAGGCAAAGCATCCATACACATAAAATAAATATTTAAAATATAAAGATCCAGGCTGCTGGGGGGGGGGGGGGTGGCCTTTAATCCCAGCCCTTGGGAGGCAGAGCTAGGTGGATCTCTGTGAGTTTGAGGCCAGCCTGGTCTACAGAGCAAGTTCTAGGACAGACACCAAAGCTACACAGAGAAACCCTATCTCAAAAAACTAAAAAACTAAAACAAACAACAACGAAGAAGGAGAAGGAGGAGGAGGAAGAGGAGGAGGAGAGGAAGAGGAGGAAGAGGAGGAGAAGGAAGATGAGGAGAAGGGGAGGAAGAGGAGGGGAGAAGGAGGAGAGGAGGAGAAAAATATCTAGGCATGCCAGTGCACCCCTTTAATCCCAGCACTAAGGAGGCAGAGGCAGGCGGATCTCTGTGAGTGACAGGCCAGCCTGGTCTACAGAGTGAATTCCAGGGCAGTCAGAGCTACACAGAGAAACCCTGCTTCAAAAAATACCAAGTCTTAAAATTAGTTAGTTAGTTAACTAATTAATTAAATAAAAAGAAATACAGGGCTGGAGAGATGGCTCAAAGGTTAAGAGCACTGGCTGCTCTTCCAGAGGTCCTGAGTTCAATTCCCAGCACCCACATGGTGGCTCATAGACATCTATAACGGAATCTGGTGCCCTCTTCTGGCCTGGTTAAATTTTTTTAAAAAGCGGTAGGTTTAGGCACTACATAGAAGAGTTGTGTAGGCAGAAGGAGGTGGAAAGTGTCGAGGGACTCGACTGAGCCGGAGAACCCAGGAACACACTGCCTCTCCAGGCCGCTCTTGAGAGCCAGGCTAGAGGAGGCTTTGAGGAGAGTGCAGTGGGCATCCAGAACCCATGGCGGCGTGTTGTCTATTCGCAGGGGAGTGAATGCCCAAACCAGCAACGGTGCCACGCCCCTGTACCTGGCGTGCCAGGAGGGCCACCTGGAGGTGACAAAGTACCTGGTACAGGAGTGCAGCGCAGACCCGCACGTGAGCGCCCAAGACGGCATGACGCCTCTGCACGCCGCGGCGCAGATGGGCCACAACCCCGTCCTGGTGTGGCTGGTGAGCAGGGACCAGAGCAGGACAGCGCTGGGGGTGAGCCGGGGTCTCAAGGGGCTTAGTTCATGCCCCGCCCACTCCCTCCCTACCAGGTGAGCTTCGCAGACGTGAGCTTGTCCGAGCAGGACCACGACGGCGCCACGGCCATGCACTTTGCCGCCAGTCGCGGCCACACCAAAGTGCTTAGCTGGCTCCTGCTGCACGGGGCAGAGATCTCTCAGGACCTGTGGGGCGGGACCCCGCTGCACGACGCTGCTGAGAACGGGGAACTCGAGGTCAGGGCGGCCCGAGAGGGGCGGGGCCAGGCTCTGGGGCGCAGGCGCCCTCTGGCGGCCGCAGGCTCTCCTTGCAGCCTCTCTGGCGTGCAGGGCGTGGAAGGGACCCAGCCCTCTCCTCCTCTCCCGCTGCAGTGCTGCCAGATCCTCGTGGTGAACGGCGCGGGGCTGGAAGTCCGGGACCATGATGGGTACACAGCTGCCGACCTGTCTGATTTCAATGGCCACACCCACTGCTCCCGCTACCTACGTACCGTGCAAACCCTGGTATGACTTTACCCCTTTTACAGAGAAGGAAGCTGAGGGTCAGGGGTATGAAGCTTCTTGCCTGGGGTGGTACAAGGGGGAAGTGTCCTTGCCCACTGCTTGGCACCAGCTGAAATTCAAAACCATTGTCATCGGGCATGAGGCTAGGCAGAGGCCAGGAGACACTGACCACTGGGCCCAGCCAACTTCATTTTTCACCCACCCACATGTATTAGCGGACTTAACTCTTACAGACCCTCTCTTGTAGGCTGTGGTAAGTGGTCCCATTTCAAAGATGGGTAAACTGAGTGTCCGTTAGGCCAAAGGTCACACATCCATGATGGAGCCCAATGGCCTGGCGTTGACTATGAGCTATCTCTTCTCTCCTTCGGTGCTGAGGGTTTGGAATGCTAGGCAAATGACATACCATTAAGCCACACCTCAGGTCTCTTTTCACCTGTCTTTTTTGTGACCCTTCTGCTGTGGCCTCCTCAGTAGCTAGGATTACAGCCATGCACCATTACAGCTGGCAGGAACCGCCCCTCTTGACTAGTACACAATTGCTCACCTTGTAGTTAATTCATAACCGAAAAACGATGTGACTCTTGTAAATTGTTTTATTGTATGCTTACAAAGCCATGAGATGACCCAGTGGGAATCTAGGCTCAGATGTGGGCGTCTCTAAGTCCAGGGCCCTGCCCCTGCTGGTACAGTGCCTACTTTGGGGCAGTAGAGGAAGAAGACAGTCTCACAGCCCCCGCCCCCGCCCCCGCAGAGGGATGCTATCTCCACAACCTAGCCCAGACATGAGGAAGGCTTCCAGATGAAGCCCGGAAGAAAGAAGGCGGATGGCCCTGCTCTATCTGCTAGCATGTGGGGTAACCCTAGTTGGGATCTGAACAGTTCAGCATGGCCTAGGTGTCAATCATAGCTGAAGGTTGGGGGGATGAACCTCCAGAAAGTCCTCCCATCACTGGGGCACACAAGCAGGGGTAGGCACTGTGAGTCTCTGTCTGGACCAGGAGTGAGGTCCATCAAGCAGACTGTCTGCTATGGAGCTGCGAGTGTGCAGCACCGGGATCACCTGAGAGCCTGCCAGGCTGCGGCTGCCACTGCCCATAAACACCAGCGTTGATGTCGGACTCCGGCAGGCTCTCTGTCCTGTGCTGTACAGGTGTGACTCCGGCTCATCTCTGTCGTGTTTGTTGGTAATTTACACTTAAGGCATGTCCTGGGCACCATGCCTGTCACAGACTTCCAACACCTTTGCCCCCTGTGGAGCAAATACCATTATCCCCACTTTACAGATGAAGGGGTGCAGAAAGTATTGGCATATGCTGTGCTCATCATCCATAGGTAGGGAGGGGCTGGGGAGTAAAGGCTTTGCTTCTAGGCTGCCAAGCCTGCGTGCCTGGGTCCTAGCTCTTGTCTTCTGTGGTCTACAGAGCTCAGGGCAGGGTCCCCATGCTGCCCACTCGTGTTAGTTAAGAGAAGAGTACCTTTAGGTTGTCTCCCCCCAAGTTGTCTTCTGGGTCTCTCCTTTCCCTCATAGGGTAAGAACAGGGCTGGACCCCTTGAAGGGAATGAGGTAGGCAGTAGGATCTGGTCCCCTCACCCAGGCAGGCCAGGCAGCAGCCACGACAGATCCAAGCCACCAAGGTAGCTGGCCCAGAAAAGGCAAACACTAATTACAGGGCCAATGAGGGTGGCCGCTGAGCCGTTACCTGGTGCCAGCCTGCTTCCCTGTCCCAGGGGGCCTGTGACACTTCTCAGGCAGGGAGGGGCCAGGAGGGCAGGAGGCAACAGAGGAGCAGGCTTGCCGGTAGCAGGGACAGCATGGGCAATGTAAGTTAGCTCCTCACCCTAACTGCTCCCAGCAAAGACGAACGGACCTTCCTTCCTGTGGGAGGAAGAATGGGAGGGTTGGCAGCCCCAGCTGGGGCATGCCATCTAGGGCCCAACCTCCCCACCCCCATCAGAAGGGAGCTGGCATGCCAAGCAAATAAAGATGGGGTTGCAGGCAGGAAGTGGAGGTTGTCCCCCTATATGTTTCTTCCTGCAGGAGCAGCCCTTGGGGCCCTCTGCCCACAGATGCATAAAAGCCCGGGCCTTCTGCCCACTGATGAGAGCGGGAAGTCTGGTGTGGGGCTGCACTGTGCCTCCAGGGGCCTTCTTTCCAGGTCTCCGCCTACCTGAGCAGGGGGAGAGCCAGGTGGGAATTTAAGGCCGGAAATGCTGCTGGGAGGGTCTGTTCGTGACGCGCATTTGAAGAAGCTGCTGATCCTCTCAGGGTAGAAAAATAAGGAAGTGGCTTGGCAGGTCATTCACTGGGGACTTGTGGTAGGACCCCTGTTGCAGAGAGTGTGGAGTTTATCCCCACAGCTGCCCTCTTTCTTCTCAGAGCGTGGAACACCGAGTCCTGTCCCGGGATCCGTCCACTGACCTGGAGGCAAAACAGCCTGACTCGGGCATGTCCTCGCCCAACACCACCATGTCGGTGCAGCCGCTGAACCTGGACCTCGGCTCGCCCACCAGCACCCTCTCCAACTATGACTCCTGCTCGTCCAGCCACTCCAGCCTCAAGGGTCAGCGCTCTACCCGAGGTGAGCGGGCCGGGAAGAAGAGGAACCGGAGGAGCCAAGACAAAACGCATGGCTCTTCTCTCCACGTCACTCACTGTCTTGACGTGGGGAGAGGGACAATAGGGCGTGTCCGTTAGGATATACACTCCCTGCCACAAAGCCTGCATGTGCCCCACACAGGGTTTGCTGCTCTCTGGTCTAGGCTACAAACTCAGAGCTGCACATATGGACAGGTGTGCCTAGGAAACAGATAAGCACGCACAAACGCATACAAACAGATGAGCACATACAAACTTACGCTGATACTATAGATACAAACACACACCTATATTACACAAACGGGATACAGATATGGACTACTACAGATATGGACACCCGCACAAAGGTCCCCCAGACCAATACAGACACACAAATATACAGAGGGACCGGGTTAAACACACACATAACAAAAACCCTCACAGACAGGCATCTGTGTACACACTGACCACACCCTGAACAGTCCAATTACATGCAGTGTCCACTTCCCATCACTAGGTGGCGATCTGCAGAGCTGGTTTGAGTGTAGCCATCCAGACTCCTGCCTTGCCTGGCCCCTGCCAGGTGGTCCCACTCCACAGGACCCTGGAACCCAAAACTCCCTAAAGTGACCCCTAAAAACCCGAGAGCATCACCTTCCTGCCTACTGAGGAGGCCGAAGCAAGTGACCCCCATTCGCCTTGCCACTGGTTAAGCCATTTGCAGTGTTGGGATACCTTGGATCTGGGATACATTTTGCAAACTTATACACCCTGATTGCCCTTCTGCCCTCCGCCCAGGGCTTCCCAGTGCAAGAGCTGCAGATTTACAGAGCTACATGGATATGCTGAACCCAGAGCTGAGCGTGCCTCAGGGCAAAATAGGGAAGCCTACTCCACCACCACCGCCACCAAGCTTCCCTCCGCCGCCACCACCCCCAGGCACCCAGCTGCCCCCACCTCCACCAAGCTATCCAGCTCCTAATCCCCCTGTGGGGCTACCTGCGGATAATATCTACATGCAGACCAAGAACAAGCTTCGTCATGTGGAAGTGGAATCACAGAAGAAGGAGGTAGGTAGAGAGCTGGCCCTGTTGGCAAGCAGTAGGACTAGGCTGGGCCGATAGAGAACTGGCCCGGTTGTTTTGTGGTCACAAATGAGAATTTCTGGGCTCAAGGCAAGTTCAAGTATTGAAAATCTTAGCCGGGCGGTGGTGGCGCACGCCTTTAATGCCAGCACTCGGGAGGCAGAGGCGGGCGGATCTCTGTGAGGTTGAGGCCAGCCTGGTCTACAAGAGCTAGTTCCAGGATAGACTCCAAAGCTACAGAGAAACCCTGTCTCGAAAAACCAAAAAATAAAAAATAAAAAAAAAATTAGCGAGCGCAGAACTGAACATGGTGGACGGGTGGGGGCCACAAAGCAAAGTCGCCATATTCCTTTCGAGGGGGCGAGGCTGAGGGAGCATAGGCCTAGTCGGGGTAGTGAGGAGCTATGCCACATCTTGCACAGAGTGGCAGGACTGTTGCGGAGTTAGCAGAGAAAGCATGTAGATGACATGGATACCCGTAGCGTGGGGCTCACAGGTGATGGTGGCCTTCATCTTTAATGCCAGCATTGGAGAGGTAGAAGCAGGCAGGTCTCTGAATTTTAGGAGAGCCAGAACAGGGCTACAAGAGAACTTGTGTCTCAGAAAACAAAAATAAAAAAAAAAGAATGAAAAATTTAAAAAGAACACTTGAGGTGTCTTCCAGGTGGGTTAGTCCGGGAGTTTAACTTGAAGGTGAGGGCCAGAAGGTGGATGGGGAAGTTGAGCAAACACTAGAAAGTTCTGCTACCTACTGGCTGAAGCTGGCTCCTCTTCCATCAGGGTTAAAAAAGGCTCCCTCCGATGCTAACTCCCCTCCCACTCCGTAACCTCTGCGAGGGTGGAGGCTGAGCATGTGTGTGAGGAACCCTTCAGAAGGGGCGCTACCGTGAGGGGCTGGCTAGAACATCCAAGGCATTTGGACTTGCGGCTAAAGCTGGGGAGCAGAGAAGGGGCAGATGAATGTCAGGGAGGCCCGAAGCCAGGCCAGGGGGAGAGGTGAGGGGACAATCTAAGACCACAGGTGGCCAGGTGTAGGGTGGCAAACTCACAAAGCCTTGCCAGAGCCCAGACCTTGCAATTCTCTCCCCAGCCCAAGGCATACCACCTCAGGGTGGAGCTGAGTGCTCAGTTTGCACAGGTGAGCCAGGTCACAAGGCCATGGGGGCGGAGGTGGCTGTGGGAAGGACACAACCTTTACAGGGACTGCACCGCGGTCTTTACCTGCCTTCCTGTGCACCAAGCTCTTCCCCAGAAGGTTCTTTGTCATCTGGAGATGAAAGAAGGCTGGACAGAGGTTGGAGAGAGTTGAGGCCAGCCCATTTTCGCAACCAGGCGAAACAAACGAACCTTGCCCCAAACCATGCCCCCTCCCCACCCCTGGGCCTGAGTGCCAGCATTATGCCATGCCCGAGCCCCTCTGCGGTGTGTTCGTGCTGAACTGAAGGCGCTAATAGGCTCCACAAAGGGCCCTTTGTGTGCCGGTTGCGTCCCTTGTCCCCCTCAGGCGCGGGTGCCCAAACTGAGTTAAGGGGTGTGCGCCTCGGCGGCTGTAGTGGGTGCCTGCCGAAGGGGCTGGCTGACCCAGAAAGCAAATCTGGCGTGTTGTGTTTCCTGTCACGTGCACCTTGTCCAGTGGGGTACGGAGGGTCTGAGGCCACTGCAGAGACATACAAACTGGGGACTGGGTCAAGGGACAGGCCCCACCTGGTCATTAGGTCTTTGGCCACGCCACCTTTTCTCTCTCGCCCAGTGCAGGCCTTAGTGGGGAGCAACCGAGTGAGAAGTGGCTTTGTCACCCGAGCCCACCTGGCCACCCTTGAAACTTGAGGCCTGGGCGCGGGTGTGGTGTCGTTTACATGGATAGCGATGGGTTCCAGATGCGGGAGGGGAAGGTCCAGGGCGCGACCTGGGTTGGGGTGTGGGTTGGGGGCAAAAAAAAAAAGCGGTTTCGCTGCCCGAGGTCAGCCTCTCTTACGGTCCTGGCAAATGACTGAGGGCGGGTAGGATGAAGGTAGGGTACTCAGAACCTCTAGTCGGGGGAGAGGTGCAGAGGGCGGAGCCGCCCCTGGCCCGGTGTGGAGCAGCGGGGCTCCGTGACATCCCCGCCTGCCTGGGGGGTTGAGCCTGGGATTGGCGGACCCTGGGTGATGTCAGGCCGACTGAGCTCATAGGCGGGCCGCGTGCGGCCGGGCTGTAACCTGAGAGGAAGGATCAGGTAACGCAGGTGTCGGGTCCGTGCCGCCCCCGCCGCCAGGTGCACAGCGGGGGCCACCGGAACAGTCGCAGGTAGGAGCAGCCCTAGGCTGTGGGCCCCCCTGAGTAAGGAGAAGCGTTCCGGGGCACCAGCTCTAGACAAGGCCCCCTCCAGGCCGAGACCCCCGCCGGAGAGGGTTCGAGGAGCCTTGAGCTCTCACGTGCGGTTTGTGGAGTAGCTAGTAGGGTGCAGCCGAGCCCTCGGGGCGGGCTAATTGGGAACTGTCCTAGCTCAGGCTCCCCCTGGCGTCCAGGCTGGGCCTCCCCGCCCTTGGGTCCGCCCCTTCTGGCCTTAGTGGGGGCCCCTGTGCCCTTGGCCCTCACCCAGACCCCTCCCTGTGAGCCGGCCGAGCCTTCGCCCTTTTACCAAGGTCCCCACGCCCCTTGCCCCATCCTGGTCGGAGAACTGGGGGTCGGGGGAGGGGCAGGGACGCGGCCAGCTGCGCCACTCGACGGCCGCTGGCCGCGAGCCCCCTAGGCAGAGGGTGGGAAGGGAGGTGCGAGGGGCATCCGGGCTAAGTGCATCCTCCTCCACTGTCTTCCCGCAGCGGAGCTCGGGCGACGGCCACTCAGGATTGCGAAGGCAGGACTCGGGGCTGCCCTGGCACAACATCGGACTGCGCAGGCAGGACTCCGGCCGCAAGCAGCGCTCGTTCAGCAAACAGCCCAGCACGGGGGACTACTACCGCCAGCTGGGCCGCTGCCCGGGGGAGCCGCTGGCCTCACGCCCGGGCATGGCCCACAGTGAGGAGGTGCGTGCTCTCCATCCCGCATCCATGGGCCGTCCGGGCCCGGACCCTGTTGCGCGCTCCTCACTCTCTGGCCCCTCTGCACCCCCGCAGGCGGCGCTGCTCCCCGGGAACCACGTGCACAACGGCTGCTCAGCGGACCCCAAGACGTCTAAGGAGCTGCCACCACCACCGCCACCACCACCGCCGCCTCTGCCCGAGGCCCTGAGTTCGCCGCCACCTGCCCCACCTCTGCCCATCGAGGGCGCGGTCGCAGGCTGCGGGCAGCGTCGTTCCTCGTCGTCTGCTGGCAGTGAGTAGGGGCGGGATGAGGGGTGGGGGCGGCGCCAGCTGTAAAGGGGAGGGAAACCTAGAGACCGCCCCCTCCCCAGCTGCGACTTGCCTTCCTCCTTCCCGGTTCTTCTTTCCAGACCCTACCCTTTGAGGACAAAGGAAAAAAACTTTTGAGTTGCTTCGGTCCCACGGCAGGACTGGGCTGAGTGTGGCTTTTGACAAGGCCCCTGCCTTCTCTGGGCCTTCTCCTTTTTGGCTAGGGAGAGCCTCCGGGCTCTGGTGGCTGGTGTTTCTTGAGCTCTTTTCTTCCTGTACCTACATCTTCAGTCCCCGCACTCGCCAACCTTTGACTCTGGTTCCCTCAAGCTAAGCACAGCCTTGAGCTTTTCTCAGCTACGACAGAACTCACTGATCAGCTGTGTCTGGCGAGGGGAACAAAAACAATGACCCAGCAATCCATCACAACCCTTTCCTTGGGGTTTGTATGTACATGGTGATGGTGCTCATGCAGGACACCTCAGGGCCCCTTCAAGCGTGCTAGGCTTACTCTCGACCACTGGCTGGACGCTGTTGTTTAGAAGTTCAGCTAGGGACCAGGACTGCGGGACCATTCCTTCTGCCAGGGATCCTGGAAGGTTCTGGTTCTCTCATCCTAGTGAGGCAGGGCTGGGCGCAGAAATCGTACTCGGTGGTTCCAGCCCAAGCTTCGTTTCTCTGACTGGACTCGGAGAGCAGCTCCTCTGGAGCCCGTCAGAGTGTGTGCACACCTGGGCCTCTCGGTCCATCTCCCAGCTCTCCAGCCAACTCTCTTTCCTCTGCAGTCTGTCCTGGGGACAAAAGGGAAATGCTAGTCTCTGGCTGTCCCAACCAGCCCCAATGCCAAGATGGTCTCCCTGAGAGGACCGAATGGACCACCCTTGTGGGGCCCCCAAGTGGCCTGAGCCAGGGTCACAAGGGCAGGAGAGCTCCTCCCCTCCCTCCCCTGCCCTCCCTGGCCTTCTTGCTGTCCCGGTTTCACCCCAGCCCCTCTTCCTCTAACTTCGCTGTCAATTCTCTCCCCTCGGTTCCTAGAAGTGAGAGTCCTGAGACACAGGAAGAGTGAGTAGCTGCGCGGGCTCACGGCTTAGGCTAAGGCGTGGGGTGGGGGAGGTGGCTTGCCCAGAAATAAGGCAGAAAGAGCCTGGGACTGAAGAAAGGGCTTGCTAGGGGCCAGTAGGTGAGAGGGCCTGTTACCCTGAACACCTACGGCATCCCGGCATCCGGTGCCTGGCTTGCAGTTTTGCTTAAGTAAATGAGCCAGCGGCGGCATGCCTTCCTTCTCCTTGGGATGTGCTCCGGATTATCGGCCCCAGCATCCAAGGGCCTTTAGTATCACTTTGTTCTGCCCCATCCGGGGCACCAAAGACCGCTCTCCCCAAGTCCTCATTCACCTCCGCCAGCCCTGCTGGAAATGCAAACTCAGTCCAGGTATTTGCATGCCTTTGGCCTGGCCCTTCTTCCTGCATGCCCTCTCCCGTGTCCTCAGCAAGCTCCTCCTTCCACGGTCCCCCAGGGTCATGCAGTGCTTTGCCATAAATGTCTGCTCCGCTTGCCGTCATTGTGTCTGCTGTCTGTCTGTGGGTGTGGGGCCAGGGAAGGTCCAGCTGGGTGGCACTCCAGGGTCCTGAGTCTTATAGCCACGGAGGCTCCAGTCTGCTCAGTCCAAGGGTCACTGGGCTTTGCTGATGAAGGGAGAGGGCCATAGGGAAACTCCGCCCTAGTGGGGGCTGAGCCAGGAAACCTGGGACAAAGGTTGGGTGGCTAGCAGGGTAGTGCACTGGATCTGGGCAGTCGATGGTGGGCAGAGATCCGCTCAAGTCCCCAGGGCTGGCCCAGGAGCCACCATGAATTCCCAGGGGCCTCCAGGTGGGGGCCGTGTGCCCAGTGAGTAAGACTTGGTGGGGTCACCGTGGACTGGGAGCTGATGGCCCACCTTTAGGTGTCCTGATAGCTATCTGAGGTATCCCAGGAGCTGGAGAGCTGCCTCTGGGCCCAAAGGTGGGCCCTACCCATCTGGCTTGAAAGGGGGTCTGGGGTGAGGTGGGGGCAGGATGGAAATGGGAATGCTACCTACCCCCAACCAATCACCTCTTCTCTTTGGGCAGGTACCAAATCTTTCAACATGATGTCTCCAACGGGTGATAACTCAGAGCTGCTGGCTGAGATAAAAGCAGGCAAGAGCCTGAAGCCAACGCCACAGAGCAAGGGGCTGACCACTGTGTTCTCAGGCAGTGGGCAACCAGCCTCCCAGGTAGGCTCTAGACGGGTGCCCCGCCCGGGCTCCCAGTGCCTGCTGGGTGCTCAGCCCTACTGCTTCTCCCGGCAGCCTGAGTCACCGTCACCTCAGCCATCGCCACAGCCCTCGGTGTCACCTGCGCCATCTCGAGCCCGGAGCCCCACCCCACCAGCCTCTGGGCCTCAGCCGTTGCTCAATGGCAGCCTAGTGCCGGCACCACCTGCCACGCCAGCACCTGGAGTACAGCTGGATGTGGAGGCCCTCATCCCTACGCTGGATGAGCAGGGCCGGCCCATCCCGGAGTGGAAACGCCAGGTGATGGTCCGGAAGCTGCAGCAGAAGATGCAGGAGGAGGAGGAGCAGAGGAGGAAGGTGGGTGGGGTATGGCTTCCTAGAAAGCCCTGGGGTCCGCACTAAGCCTACAGCCTGTTCTGACCCTTCAGCCTCCAGCAAAGCCCTTGGAAAGAAGCAGGAATATAGGATATCCTATACATAGTGGGTCTCTGTCTCACCACGGTTAGCTGTCCCTTGAAGGGAGCTGTCAATGTTTACCAAACTCTAGTGTGCCTTCAAGTCACTTGGGACCTTATTAAAGAGCTTATTCTGCTTTGGGGACAGGGTTGAGATTCTGCATTTCTAACAAGCTCCTGGGTGGACCACACTGAGTGTGACCTGAACTCTGTCCTGGCACTGCCACCCTCCAGCCTCTGCTGCTGAGTCTTGCTCAGCGTCAATCCCTTATCTGTAAGATGATTTGGTCATCACTAGCTGCCGGACGGTCACCATTTACTCAGCCAACCAGTGTTCCCTGAGCGCCACCTATGTATTGCACACACGATTGTATCTTCTGAGGCTCACAGTGAAAATACCAAAGCCTGCTATCAAGGTGGCTGTGGAAGTTATGTGTGTGTGTCAACAAGCAGATAATGTCCCTAAGAGATGATGATGATGTGAGAACGACAGTTTGGAGTAACAAACAACTAAGCTTTATAATACACTGAGTGATCAGGGGCACAGGAGACTGAGGTGCCACCCAGCTGGTGGCCAGCTGTGGGCTGAGGGGTGGTGTATTAGCCCAATGTGAGATGGGAGCCGGAGACACACAGGAGTTGATTAGGAAGAGTCGCATGCGGAGGAAAGCAAGCAGAGTGGGAGGTCTGGAAGAGGATGTGTCTTGTGCATTTGCGTTTGGTGTGAGTGGTGGGAGTCAGGATACAAAGTTTCAGCTGACAGCCTGGAAAAGACTAGCCCCACCCCCTCTTCCTAGGAAGCCCCACCCCCTCTTCCTAGGAAGCTTGGCGACTCAACAGACTTGTGTGGGAGGTGGGCAGTACTAGATCTAGATGGATCTGGCCCTAGAAGTGGAGCTGGGTCCCGCACATTTTATGGGGTAGGAGATTGTAATTTAAGAATGGAATATGGAGCCGGCGGTGGTGGCGCACACCTTTAATCCCAGCACTCGGGATTAAAGCACTCGGCAGAGGCAGGCGGATCTCTGTGAGTTCGAGGCCAACCTGGTCTACAAGAGCTAGTTCCAGGACAGGCTCCAAAGCTACAGAGAAACCCTGTCTTGAAAAGTGGAGTATGGAGAAAAAGAATGGAGTGGAGTAGGAGGGGCATATGAAACATTGACTTGACCGCTGGGACAAGGATGGACTTGGACCACAGGAAGCCTGAGGAAGGGTCTGTGATCTGGTGACAAGAGAGGAACGTTGGGATCTGGCTTGGAAAGAGCTATGGATGGCAGGGGAGGGCCGCTGTGCTTCTCGGCTTCAGTGCCTTTCGCATGTTCTTCGGGTGGTGTAATGAGCGACCAAGCCAGGCATGGAGACCCAGTTTGCCAGTCCGCCTTTCCTGCCTCAGGCAGCACCGCAGCCCCAGCCAATGCCTTCTACCAGCAACCAAAGCGAACAGTGCTCTGAGCTGGGAGCCGAAGCCTTACTGCAATGCAATCTCCCCGCCAGCCAGGCGGCCGGTCCCTGCAAACGCAGCCCAGCGGAGCCATTACACCACCCAGGACTTGCAAAAGGTCGCCTGCTCTGCTGCGGGAGCTGGGCCAGAGGGAGACGCGCTCCCTCCCCTCTCTTGTCTTCCCCGCCTTAGCTGACGGCTGCTAGCTCCTGCTGCTATCCCCCGGAAGGCTGGAGGTACTCCCGCGAGCACAACGCCATCCTAGGGCCCTTTGGCGAACTCATGACCGAGGCCGACATCCTCCGCATCGAACAGCAAATTGAGAACCTGCAGGTGCTTCACAAGGCAAACAAGCTCGAGGCGCGCCTAGAGCAGCTAGAGCTGGAGTTGGAACAGCTGCTACCGATCTCGGCTGCTCTGTCGGCGCCGCGCTTCACCGTAGACCCACGCCGCATGCGTGGCCACGCACCCAACCTGCCCGCCTGGTGCACCAAGATCTCCACGCTGCTCAGGAGTATGGCCACGCTGCTGGCCGCGCTGGGCGGCCGGCCCGCACACCTGGCAGAACTGCTGACTGCAGACACTGGCCAACCGCTGGCACCGCTGCCAGACGCACCCTCGAGGCCTGGACCTCTCTGTTTGGGCCGCTCTCATTCACTCAGCTGGTGCCGGGAGGCCGTGGCACGGGAGATCCTCGAATGTGGCGTCTCGGTACAGCACCTCCGCGCCGCGTATGAAATGCGCACTCAGGGCGCGGCGCCCACCCCGAGCCTGCGCCGCAAGCTCCCTCAGCCCGCCAGCACCCCGGACCGGGAACCCATCCTCGAGGAGGACTACGTGGCGATCGGTTCCAGTGAGCCGCGAGCCGCCGTTGCCAATGGCCTGTGGGCTGCAGAGGAGACCCTGGACACCCTGGACCCACCCGAGCCGTGGCACCGCGAGGAAGCTTTTCCGGAGCCCGAGCAGCTGGCTAGCAGGCCCCCACTCTCCACCGAGCTGCCTGGCGTCCAGGACTACATCGACATGCGTAAAGAGCGCATCGTCTACCTCTTCCTGGAACACTGGCGCAAGTGGACCTTCCAAGGACCTGGGCGTCATGCTCAGGCGCGCCTGCGCAGACTGCTGCCCCGGGTGGTGGCCTCTGGCGCCGGTCCCCTCCCAGAGGCAGACGACACTGCCCAGCAGCAACCAGCTAGTGACGACTTGGACCGTCACCCTGAAGAGCGTCTGCTGCGGCTGCTCAGGCAGCGACAGGTGGTGGGAAAACTGCTGGGCCACTGGAGAAGCCTGCTAAGGCAGGTACCAGCGCGCCAGGTACCCGGCTCGAAGCTGACACATGGTGTGTACTGGCCCGAGCACTTCCTGCCACCACTCGACGGCGGCGCTATGCGGAGCTACGACACTCTCACCCTAGATCTCTTCATGTTAGGCTACTTTCAGCTGCTGGAGATGGGCCTGAGCCGCGAGGAACGGAAATTTCGCCACCTATTGTGCTATGAGATGTTCGACCGGCTGGGCAGCCACCCGTGGGAGCTTATCCGCCAGTTCCACCGAGCAGTGCTGGAGGAGGTGGAGGCTGGAAAGCGTGGCTGGGACGATGGCTTTGAGGATCTCAGGCGCCAGTTCTTCGGAGACAGCCCCGAGTCTGAGACGGCTCCAGAAGAGGCTCAAGAGGAGAAGGGAGAAGGGTCCGGAGAGAAGGAACAAGACCAAGAGGAAGAGGAGGAGGAAAAAGAGGAACAGGGAGAGGAGGAAAAAGAGGAGAGGGGAGAGGAGGAAAAAGAGGAGGGGGGAGAGGAGAAAAACGAGGAGGGAGGAGAGGAGAAAAAACTGGAGGAAGAGAAGAGAAAGGAGGAAGACAAGGAGGAGAGAGAGGAGGAGCCTTCTGAAGAATCCACTCCTGCTCAAACACAGGACCTGCCACAGGGGCAGCCAGAGGCCCCAGCCCCAGCACCGCAGCCGCCTCCCGCTGCACCTCCCCCAACCTCAGACCGACCTAGTTCGGAACCCCCAACTGAAGAACCCCTGGAGCTGGTGTCTGAGATGGGCGAATTCAGCAACGAGGACATCTGCCGCTATATTGACCGGAGCTTCTCCTTTTGGAAGGAGAAGGAGGCAGAACTCTTTGACATCTGAGAGCAAATGCACAGCTTAGTTTTGTGCCTGGATGCCTGTCTGGCATCTTGAGGCCAGAACCAGAGAGAAAACAACCAGATTTTTAAAAGCCTACTTCTCTGGGACCTTTGAGGTCCCTAGGAGGGAGGAAATGAAGGCATTTATGAGATGGGTTAGTCACAGGGTCACAGGGCAAGTCAGGCGTTGCTATGAAGCCAGGAAGCACAAGTAAAGGAACTCTGGGTCCCCTGAGGGCAGTGTGGTTTTGTCTCTGGTTTTGCACCGGAGTTCACAGCTACTACCTCCTTGGCCACCCGTGCAGTGTTCTGTGTGGTGTGTGATGTGTACAGACCCTTGCTATTCTGTGACATCAAGGAATAAAGCGCTCTGTCATAGGCTGTGTTGGCGCCCCCTTTCCCCATGTCATTATAGTCCCACATAGTGGAATAATTTCTGTCCCATTAAGAAAAGAGCAAGCATGGGCCAGAAGGCCCTCCATAGGGATCCGGAGCAGACCCAGGTCTTCCTGAGCTGACCCGGTGTGCGGTTCAGTTCTCTATCTTCCTAGAAATCCGGAAAAACAGACTAGGAAATTAGGACCCAGCTACTTTTCTGCTTCTTCCTTTTTACCTTCCCTGATCTATCTGGTTCCACTTCTAGGAAACAGGTTGGGTCATTGGGGAGCAGAAGGCCCCTTTTGAGCAGGCTACCACCAAGCACCATTATCTGATTGTACCATAGCAGGCCACCAAAAAGGTCTTTCTTATAAACACATATATATTCTTCTCCCCCTAAATTCTCCATGTCCCCTGGGTTGGAAATGCATGCCCCTGGCCTGCAAATCTCAAGTCAAGCTGGTCCCTGAAGCTGTGTGGTTGTGTTTTAGGAGGAAGAGGAGGAGGCCCGGCTGGCCAGCCTGCCTGCCTGGAGGCGTGACATCCTCCGGAAGAAGCTGGAAGAGGAGAGGTGAGTGTCTGGAGGAGGCTGCTGGGCACTGTCTTGATCACCTCTGGGGTTGGGATGCCATCTCATCCTGTCTCTTTCTCTTTCCAGGGAGCAGAAGCGGTAAGTTCGATCCTGGCCCAAACCTGTCACTTCTTTCTACAACCACTCACTGAGGCTTGTCCCTTATGCGCCTTCATCCAGCCCATTACTTCAGTCTTTGTATCATATCCTTTCTGCGCCCACTAATGACATAAGACCCTTAATTATTTAGCACCTGTCCCTCAAAGTCTAGCTCTCATGCTCAGATCACATTACCTCGACCCCCCGCTCCCCATCTCCTATCACTAACCTAGCTTTTCACCAACTGTATTAGCACTGTGTGTGTTAGTATATACCTAGAATCCCCACCTGGTAGGAATAGGCAGAATTACAAGTTCAAGGTTGTCCTTGGCTTCACAGCCAGTTCAAGGCCAAATTGACCTACAAGGTGACCTTGTCTCAAAACGAGAGGCAAACAAAAGCTGGGCTTTCTATCCTACAGTGCTGGCTTTTCTGCTTTAATTGTGTGTGTGTGTCTGTGTGTCTCTGTGTGGGTAGGCACACATGAATGCAGGTGTCTGTGGAGGCCAGGTGTCAGATCCCTTGGAGTTCCAGTTACAAGTGGTTGTGAGCCACCTAGTATGGGTGCTGGGAATCCAATTTGGGTCCTCTGCAAGAGTAGTCTATGATCTTAATTGATAAGCCATCTCTCCAGCCCCAAAGACAGTTATTTTAATGCCAGGATCAATAAACTTGATCATTCACATTCCCCTCAACTTAATTTCTGTACCCAGGAATCTATCCTGGTACTGCCAGCTAGAAGTATAATGTGTACCGCAAATGTAATTTTAAATTTTGTGGTAGTCACATTGAGAAAATTTTTTTAAAGATATAGGTAAACTTAATCTGAATGCTTTAATTTAATGTATGAAGTCTTATTTTAGCAGCCTGTGTGAGGGTGATGGAGGAGTCCTAGGCTCACGGCTCAGGTGGCAGAGTGCTTGACCAGAGCACAGGAAGCCCCGGGCTCAGTCTGCTCTGCAGCATTGCCTAAATCTGGGGCCTGGGACTGGAGAGATGGCTCAGTAGTTAAAACACTTGCTGCTCTTCCAGAGGACCCAGGTTCAACTCCCAGCACCCACAAGGCAGCTCAAAACCCTCTGTAACTCTAGTTCTAGAGGATCCAATGGCCTCTTTTAGCCTCCTTGGGCACCAGGCACACATGTGGTGCACAGACATAAATGCTGGCAAAATACTCATTCATACTCAATTAAATAAAATTGAAAACAAAATAACACACACATACACACACACACACACACACACACACACACACACACAAAACCAATCCTGGAGTGATAGCACAGGCCTATAATTTCAGCATGCAGGAGAATCAGAAGTTCAGAGTAACTGTGTCAACATAGCAAGTTTGGGGTCCCCCCAAATATATCACACATACAACTCTTAAGATGTTTTTCTTAAAAAAAAAAAAGCTTAGTTTTGAAAATACCATGTGTATGCCAATTTGAATATTTCAATTGCTCCTTAACTAAATAGGATTAGCAGTGATCCTGTCAAAAAAGCAAATCTATCCTTCTGCTTCTTTAGAGTTAGGGCTCAAAGCTGAGTGTTCTAGGCAAGGTCTAACCTGGGGAGCTATACCCCAGTCCGTAGTCCTGTGTTCTGAGAACCTGTCCCTAGCTGGCTGGCCTGTTCCCCTGTAATGAGATCCCCAGCATCTCAACCCTATTCCCTGGTAATTTAGATTGACAGTTCCCTAACAACTCAACTCCTGTCTCCAATGACAGGCCTCTTGTCATTGATCCCCTGAACTCTGAAACATTCAATCCTCACACAGGGCCATCTGTGTGAGCCCTGTGTGACCCAGCACCCCCTCCCGGTAACACTCCTCCACAAAATAACCCAACCTTAGCCTCCACCTGCCCATCTCTCCATGACCAACATGACCCCATAAAAACCCCAGGGTCGTAAGTGGAGAAGGCCCTGCCCTCATTTACTCCCTCTCTCCCATCCTGGTGTCTGGCCGGCCCAGTATCTGGCCCCAGGCATCACTGAGTTTTGCCACCCATAAACAGAAAAGAGGAGGAGCGACAAAAGCAGGAGGAAATGCAGAGGGCGAAAGAACAGTCTGAGAAGCTGCGGACACTGGGCTACGACGAGGCCAAGCTCGCACCCTGGCAGCGACAGGTCATCTTGAAGAAGGGGGAGATCCCTAAGTAATAAGAGTCTCTCGTCCTCTTGCGTGTAGCCTCACCAGTTCTGAGAGATGGGGAGCGGCCCCCCAGCCCCCGCCCCATCCTTTCAGGTTGGTGCGAAAGGGCTGGGAGCCTTGCCGCCCTTCCCTTCGGTGCCGGAACCCTCCCTGTTTCCCCTCCCTGGCCCCACATGCCCAGCCCTGCTGCTGGAGAATGCTTGCGCACTGCTGCTGTCGCCTGGAAAAAGTGCCCAAGCTGTTGACGCAAAAAGAAAAAAAAGATAGAAAAAAAGATGCTGCTTATTTGCATGCTCACTTACATACATTTGCATGTTCGTCTACCTTGTGCTGAGCTCTCCCCAGTCCCGTGGGTGGTGACTTTTCCTGCAGGGCGCACACCGGCTGCAGCCCCCTCCCCCACATCCCGGAACCCACACTGCCAGCCCATCCTGGGTGGAGACAGACCCCGAGCTCGGGGAAGGGGTTTTCCTCCCTCCACGACCCAGATCTGCGCTAGCCAAGGCCAGGCTGCATTTCTCATCCCCGGTGAGGGTTTCCTCTCAGTCATTTGTTTACCAGAACCGATGAAACTTGCCTGTCGGGGCGGAGCCACCGCTCCCAAGGGGCCCCATCTTAACCCCCTACCCCAGTCAAGCCCTCCCAGCCCCCAGCCAGGACCTTCGCGCTCCCCTGACCGTTTCACTGCCCCAGTGGTGTAAGTGGAGGGTCAGGGACCCTGCACCTGGAGCCGCAACTATTCCTGACCCCATACCCCACCCGTTTCCTTCCCCTATTAAACCTCTATCCGCCAACTGTGGCTCTCATTCACTCTCACTCGCCGGCTTAGTGACTTTCTCCTGGGGCCACTGGGTCGTGGCGGATACAGGAGGGGTTGATATAGGAGCCACGAAGACCACTGGTTTCCATTGCGCTCCCCAGTTCCCGAGGCGTCAGGACCCCTAGCCAACTCAACGCCCAGGGAAACAAAGGGAACTAAAGCGCCACTCAACAGCCCCAGCCCCACTGAAACACCAAGAAACTATTTAAGATATTTAATACCAACTCCAAACTCAGGTTGATAGACAGTTGTGCAACTGATCATTTGGCCCCTCTTGACATTTCTCCATGACGCTTCGCTTCCCTTAGCTGGAGCTCCATAGGGCAGGTAAGCAGGGGCGAGGCCAGCCGGTGCTGCTACGCAGGACCGTGTTAGGGGGGTAATAAATGACATAAAATGTCTACACGCGTAAGTAACGATACTTAAGGCTCCTGCGAGGGTCACTAGAATGACAACGTGACTGGTGGGTCTCACATCACGGGCCGTGCTGCAGACGGCTGCGCAGGTCCTCGGCACAGCCTTCCAACCCCATGCGCTCCAGGGCCGCATAGATGGCACCCAGGCCTGCAGGTTGCTGCTGGCGCCAGCGCTTGAGCATCTCATACTGTTGGTCTCGGAAGCGGCAGATCTCCACCTCCACGGCCTCAATTTCTGCCTCCCGCAGCCCCAGTGTGCGCACGAACTCCTTCCACCGTCGTGCTGGGACTGCATCCATCACATCATAGAGCTGCGGGCCAGGCTGGAGCATAGCAGCTGGCGAGCCTGCGGGGGGCGCTGGCGAGAGCGGAGGTGCCAGAGGAAGGCCTGAGGTGGGGTCAGGGAAGTGAAGTAGCTTTCCACGAGGAGGCCTAATGGACTTCTTTGGGCAGGCCAGATACTACTCAGTGAGGACAGGAAGTCCACCTTGGACTTGGTATGAGGGAGTCAGGCCTTCCTTAGCCACTTCAATCACTTACCAAGAGTTCTGTTTGGCGACTGATTCCAGGGCTGTGGAACCTGGTTGCAGGCCATCTCCTGAGTGTGGGATAAACCAGGGGTCCAGCTGTTGCCTACCAACTGGACAGTGGTGCAGACTTTTCCAGTACTGCCTTGGGGTGCCAGGACGGTGTGGGCACTGTCTGAGGCTGAGGGATGGGTAGTCTGGAGTGGGGAGAGGCACCAAGTCAGTCATGTGTGTCTAAACAGGCCCCTTTGCTAGCTTCTGCCCAGGGGTGGCCATTCTCTGGCTCAGGAGGCAGAACTGCCTCCCCTAGGCTCTGGGTGCGCGTGCGTGCGTGCGCGCGCACACACACACACACACACACACACACACACTCCTGTGGCCCAGCAAATCCTTTGGAGTTGTTCATCCTCTCAATGTTAGGCCTAGGGCACTTGTCTGACTCGAGGGGGCAGTCACTTGAGAGCGGGTGCTGTAGCTGGTCCTGTCACTGATAACTCAGCTCTTTGACAGATGACAGCACTGGTCTGTTAAGTCTAATCTGTGCTAGCAACCATACAGAGCACTAAGGACTGTAACTCTCCTAATTCCAGAAGCTTCCCAGTCCTGAGATAATTACCTGTGGTGAGGTCAGGGTCTCCATCTCAGTTGTGTCTGCTGAGAGAGAGAGAGACAGACAGACAGAGACAGACACGCCATGTCAGCAGCAGCCAAGGCCCCTGGACTTAGGTGCCAGTCCAGGCATCTTGAGTCCCTTTGCACCTCATACTCCCTTCTGCACAGAGTTCCAGGGGCTCTAGAGTACCTACCTAACTTTACCCCATGTCTCTGGTAACACATGTGTGCAGTTCATGTATGGACTTACCAGGAACCATAGGCTTGCAAGGCTGGCGTCGGTAATATGAACAGATCAGGGTGGCCCCAAGCAGGAATGAGGTCCCTAGAAGCACCTGGACCCAAACTACTGTGAAAACAGTAACTGGTGAGTGCCAGCCAGCAGCCATCCCCTCCATCCCAGCCTGCAGCCACGCCCTCCCCACACTGGTCCCTCCCCCCCAGCCTGCAGCCACCCCCTCTCTACACTGGCCCCTCCCCCCAGCCTGCAGCCACCTCCTCCCACACTGGCCCCTCCCCCCCAGCCTTCCCACTAGAGTTACCACCTACTCCACTTCCAGGCACAGGCTGTTGTGTAGGCATCGGGACAGATCCTGCAAAAATCCCTGCAAAGGGAGTGGGGCAGGACTGAAGGCTACCCAGGACTGCCTGGTACCTTCCCCATCTTTTAGGAGGTGGGGGTGTCTATTCTGTGAGCCTTATTCCGTCGTCCATTCCCTGAGCATCACTGAAATGTCACTTGGGTCACTAATATCAACCATCACTCTTGAGCGTCCAGCTAGATCCACAAGAATGGGAGGTTTGCATCTTAAGTTCCTGAGTGGTCCTCACACCTAGAATTAGTGTCTGTGAGGTAGGTAGCAGATAAGCAAACGGTTGAGCCAGTAAGGTGCCTTCCCCTTATTACAGCTCTGGGAAGGCAGCACAGCACCCTCATGCTCAGAGGGAAAACTTGAGATCTCAAGAGGCAAATCCAGTCTCAGTGCAAGCCGCGGAGCTTGTAACCAATAGGAGGGCAGAAGGTCTAAGGGACACTGTGACAGAGGTGACGATATACCCTATTATGTATCTGCACAACCTTTTACCAGCCTGTTGTCTGAAATGTCACTTCCATGGCCCAGCCAAGCTGCCCCCACCTACATCTTTAACCATCTCTAAACCAGTAGCTCTGTCCCCAAAGTCCCCACCCTGCTCCCAGCCTCCTACTCAGGGCATGTTAATTGAGCCCTGAAGACCAAGAGATGGTTTGTTTCAGGGCAGGAGAGGAGGGAGATGAAAGAAAAGGGTTTAGGGGAGCTGGAGGGATGGTGGTGCATACCTTTAATCCCAGCACTCAGGAGGCAGAGGCAGGTGGATCTCTGTGAGTTCAAGGCCAGCCTGGTCTACAAAGTGAATTCCAGGACAGCCAGGGCTACACAGAGAAACCCTGTCTCAAAAATAAAGAAAGAAAGAGAGAGAGAGAGAGAGAGAGAGAGAGAGAGAGAAAGGTCTTAAGGGTAGACAGCCCAGGATGGGATGGAGTACTTGGGGTACTCACCGAGGGTTGGGGGAGCAGTGCAATCTGAACATGGGAGGCAAGACAAGGGCGAACTTTCCCCGCATGGCTGGATGGAGCAGACACGCCGGCCTGACTGGCAGCCACAGCGGGTATCCGACACGGCTGAACAGTTCTCCAGGATCACTTGGAAAGCTGTCAGGGGTTCAGGAATATGGGAACGTGGGTGTGTTCAGGCTACTGACCTCCACAGAGAGAAGGAGGTACTAGCTAGCCCCACAGGTAGAGAAGTAGGCAGTTCATAGTGGACCAGAGGCCACGGCATGTGAAACAGGAAGGCCACAGGGGAAAGGAGAAGAACATTTGGAAGCAGAATACATGGTGGCCATGGAGTGGACTGAACACAGGGACCTCACACCCACAGGTTGGGCCCAAGCCAGCTTTCTGAATGGCCTGTCCGCAAGAGCCCCCTGCGCCCTGGGCAGGCCCCTCACCCCCTTCATCACAGGCTTGGCAGCGGGTGCAGTCAGTCTTAAAGTGGTTTCCCCTGGTTAAGAAGGTGCCCTGAGGACAGGGAAGGCAGGTGGAGTTGCCACAGGGCTCCGTGCAGGGGGCCGTCATGTAGTGTCCTGCGGAACCCAGGCAAATGTCAGAGTCAAACCATCCTACCTGCTTCCCACTGCTCGCCATCTCTCTGGCTCTCTACCTGCCTCCCCCCTGTGGCTGCCACCCCAGCCTCCCTGGACCCCATCCCCAGCCTGTCTCACCCTCCCCCACCCTCCTTTTCCCTGCTTCGCCCTCTTTACCCTTCCAGCCACCTACCTTTTGGGCAGCCCCTGCAACAAAACCGGCCATCCCTCTTCTGTGAGTCAGTGGCACAGTCACACGGGCCAGGAGGGCTGCCCTGGCCCTGGCCCGTGGGCAGCAGCAACAGTAGCACCAAGAGAGCCTGGGGAACATGCGGCTGCTGACCCCAGGGTGGCTCCCAGGCTCCTCCTCCATCCCAGAGCCTTAGCATCTGCTTTCTCAGGCTTCTGGGCAGAATGGGGCGCCCATGGGAGGGGGAGCGGGGCCAGTTTCCTTCTCGGTCTACAGACCCAGCTTACGCACGCACAACACACGGCGGTCCCTTGTCAGCCCTTCACCCACTTCCCCTACAATCAAGACAGGGCCACCCTGCCCCCATTCATGCCTTCTGCGATATAGAGGCCCCCAGACCCCTCTTTCCCCCGGAGCGGGAGCGTGTGCTTCCTCTCAGCGGAAGGGCGCGCCCGAACCTAACTAGGTCGGTGGGTGGAGGCAACCCAGCCTTCAGGGAGGTCGGAGTGGAGGGCTTCATAGACACTTAGCTCTTGGGCTGCAGGACAAGGCTGTTTCCAGGCCTCCCTCGATCCCACTCACCTCCT